AACACAAACATCGTGAAATTTTCGATGTGAAAGCGTGTCTACGTGATTTTCAAAGCAGAGTGACGCTCGACTTGACAGTCAGTATATATATTTGTGTAATTGACAATTGTTCTTTTACAATACGATAATCATCGGCAAGAATCTTCACTAATTTTTCAGTTAGACATGTGTTTCACAGAAACATATCTGCCTATCATCAGGAATTTTCTGGAAGACGTCAGTATATATATTTGTGTAATTGACAATTGTTCTTTTACAATACGATAATCATCGGCAAGAATCTTCACTAATTTTTCAGTTAGACATGTGTTTCACAGAAACATATCTGCCTATCATCAGGAATTTTCTGGAAGGCATAATTTTTTTTTTTTGGGGGGGGGGTTGACTTAGTAAAATATCCTTAAATGTGAGAAATGGCCTGTTTTTTGTTCGACCAGTGCCGATGAATCGAGTTTCATATATTGTGGCTCGTGCGTTTTTTAGAAGTATTTTTGCATAAATAATAGCTCAAGTGAGTGAATTTTCACTTCCTTGTGTACAATTGGTCCAAATTTCCTCGGTTAAAGGAATTTCTACGCAGCACAAAAAAACTTCAAAGGTTCTGACGCGGGTGACCCCTGTGCCCAAAACCTTTTCTTTGCAAAACAAAGCAGTAACACAAATTGACGATAAGCAAAACATATTAAATTCGATGTCTGAAATCGACGCAAAGCTTCCAGATTTGAAGTACAGACTCTTCATGCTGGAGTTGTCTCGCCAGTTTACATCGAAAGATACCGAATTCGAAGAAATGCGATATATTTTGACTTCCATGATACCGGCTGGCAAAATGGAGTCGCTTGATTCAACGTTGAAATTGTTTCGCCACCTTGAAAAACTCGCAATTTTTGGGCCCGATGATCTTGGTGGGTTAAAATTTCTCGTACGCTTGTTCCGTGAACTCGGAAAACACAAATTGAGTGCAATGGTCGCACGTTTTATCTACGAAAACAGCCCGGACGAACACACCGTGCCACATAACGTTTATTAATTCTTTACACATTTTTTTCACAAAAAATGTATCCCAACACATGCGCAAAGCTTAGTGGTTTATCCCTGGCTTTATGCTTGTGTGTTGTGGTATTTTCTTGATCGTATACAAAAGGATAAAAGCTACCAGACAACTCAACAAGATGTCTTTGAAAATACACAGTACTCAGCTGGAAGAAGGCCGAAGGTAAGGACTTACTTTAGCTGAATATATAAGTATTTTGTCGTATTTTTGTTGAAAGATATAATCGAAGTATGAAAATATGGTTAGGTTAAGTATATCGAGTCAAAACTGGGGTAAAAAGAGTGATTTTTGTGTGTTATGTATGAAATATATAAAAGGGGAAACTAGTTTTCCCTTATTAATAGACAGAGAGCATTGCCCTGATCTCAAAGCATAAACTGGATGGTGCTTCCTGGCAGTTCCGCTTATGAATTTTAAATAAACCATTGCGCTCTCCCCTTGACAAGTAAAATCGCCTGGCATTAGTTGGAGTAAAATTTCTTGCCCTAAATTCAAGCAATATTTAATGCCATTTATAGCCTACCAACACTTTCATGGTTGAAGAATTATTATAATATACAGTAACTTTGGTGCACATTTAGTCATCTATCAATTTGATACCCTGGGTATTATCTTGTACCCAATATATCAATCTGAAGGCTTTCAGAAAAAATTGGGGTGAGGGGGCTGTTACTATGTTATAGTTAGTTCAGTTTAGGTTTCCTCCTGTAGTAACACTGGATCAATAAGAGATGATCCTTACTGGACCTCTAGGAAGAACAGTTTAGAACTGATAGAGCTATCCAGTATAAATAAAGCTATGTTATAGTTAGTTCAGTTTAGGTTTCCTCCTGTAGTAACACTGGATCAATAAGAGATGATCCTTACTGGACCTCTAGGAAGAACAGTTTAGAACTGATAGAGCTATCCAGTATAAATAAAGGTAGTTTAGTTTAGGTTTCTTCCTGTAGTAACACTGGATGAATAAGAGATGATCTCTTTACTGGACCTCTAGGGAGAACAGTTTAGAACTGATAGAGCTAAAGTTAGTTTAGTTCAGGTTTCCTCCTGTAGAAATATTAACACTGGATCAATAAAATCTTTATTCTTAGAGAAAATAATAAAGTAGCTGGCTTAAGCCCTAAGCTGGGCATTTGGACAAAAAAGAATAACTTACCCATCTTTGAATATAACACTCCATCCAGAGACAAACTTTGGATCTCTTACAGCCCACAATAACGCGAGAATAACAAAATGAACGAGTACACCCTTTTCTGCAAATCTACAAAAATGTTTGACGAATTAAAATATGCCTACCAAAGTAAGTCAACTGTTCAGTCACATTTGAATACGCACAATGTTGCTCAAAGACAAAGAACGATCAGTTTCGGCATTGTCGACTCGCTTTAAATGAGAAAATATACTAGGTTTACCTAATCACAGGGCCGTGGGTCCAATTCCTACCAGAGGAACTTGTGCTGCATTTTTCGCAGTCGTTCCTGGATAGGTCTTAAAATGTATATATTCTCACTTGGATTACAAACCTAACATCCTAATACCTTACTATACAGGGTGTCTAAAAAAAACGCTACGGAAATTCAACAGACTGTTGTGCATCACAAACTTAACTAAACAGTTTAATTTTTACATAGGACAAAAGAGCTATTATTTAGCTTTTCTATGATACCTTTCTTAAACCGTAACGATGAGAAATGGTCACACATGACTCGTCAAATAAAAATTGTCGGTCGAAATCAATTCTTCCACCGTTGGGAATTGAAAGAACATTAATTATGCAAAGTTAATCAATCCAAAAGCAACGCAAAAGTGCAAGGTACTTGTTTCGTAAAACGTTTTGATTACGAATATTCTCTGTTCAGTGGTTAATGGCACCATGTCTAATGCAATAATGGACGTTCTTATGGTCTCACTGAGACAAAGATGGACGAGTTGAGCTTATTTTAGATAATTTAACATTCAATTTTAATTCTCTCTTGAGAATTGTTTATTGTTCGTTTTCCTTGCAACCCCCAACGGTGGAAGAATATGATTTCGATCGGCAATTTTTATTTGGCGAGTATGTGGCCATTTCTCATCGTTACGATTTAAAAAGAGTATCACTGAAAAGCTACATAACGGTTCTTTCATCCTATGTAAAAATTGAATTGTTTAGCAACGTTTATGATGCACGACAGCCTGTTGAATTTCCGTAGCGTTTTTTGAGACACCCTGTACAATTACTTTATGGTTCCTGCTTTCTGAGGATGGCCTGATCCGAACACGTGGGAAATACAGCGTTTGTTACTCATGACGATAAAACGAGTTACCGTGTGTGTGACTGACCAGCGAACAATAAATGGACCTTTCCCCTTATAACAAAAATTTTGATCCAGACAAAAACTTCATCACAGCTTGAAGGAGCATCACAAAATTAGTAATATTCCAAAGTTTCGTTGCGAAATGTTGTAAAATGCGGATAATATAGCCATGCGAAGTTTGCCGTTTTTCAGTCATTTTGTATTACGCACGGGAAATTGACAGCCCAATCGGGTGTTGGGGCATCAATTTTCCGTTTGTAATCCGAAAATGACTGAAAATTGCAAATTTAGCAAGGCTATATTATCCGCATTTTACAACATTTCGCAACGAAACTTTAGAATATTACTAATTTTGTGATGCTCTTTCAAGCTGTGATGAAATTTTTGTCTTGCTTTGTCTAGATCAAAATTTTAGTTATAAGGGGAAATTAAGGTCATTGCATGAAACGCGTATTCGATACAAAAATTGAATATGCATAATCATCATTATCGTCTAAAGGTATTCAACGTCAAGTAATAAGCATAAAATAGCATGTACCCATACAAAATAGCGATTTTCTGCTCTTGGGAATTCAGCAGCTTCTTAAATAGTTTCTTTATGCATACAATTTACTTATGTCAATCATTTCTGCGCTCGTGGGAAGCAACAGAGTGCTAAGGCATTCAAATTCTAACAATTAAATTCTTACTGGTGATTTCAATAGTTTTCGTTTTTTGGGGGACACCCTGTACAGTATATTGTAGTGTTTAGTTGAAAAGATATCGGTGTTTAAATGAACTTGATAAGAATTCTATTGTTATTAGAAACACACAGTTGGCAATTAAGACCATTGTTAGTGTACAGTATAGGCGATATTAAGCGGGAAATGTGAGTCGTTCATGCTTATTTTTTCTCCACTTGGCATGAAAAGCACGTCTTTCAACAGCTAAAAGCCTGATCTTTCCGAATATGAAAACCAATTGTTCATACGCCGAGTAATTCACGTATAACAGCGCGCTGAAGTTCGATTACCTTTTTTTTATACACCCTGTACAACCGGTCCCCGATCTGTGTAACAACTTTGCGCGTTTTTACATGTGTACAAGGCGGACTTCAAAAACTTACGTCATGGGTCCTAGGGCGTCATATTCGTATTGAATAACTCTCCTGACTGCAGACTGCTCTTCAATTGCCTCATCCGACTGGCTTCGTCTTCGAAAGCAGTCAAGAATTGTCCTAAAACTGCAAAGGTTTCACATTGTTAATAGAGACCTCAGACCTTACGATTTCAGAACGGCAACGCAACGACGATATATACACTAGATAGCGCATCTCTTTTAGTAAAATTGAAGCCAAGAATATTCCAGCGGTTACCCCCATTTGAATAGATGGCGGCCATGTTGGTCGTTCCCACTTGCTAATAGACGCTTAAAAACAACAATAACTTTCATCATATGAATAGTTCAAAAACGTATTTCGAATAGGGTTAACTTAATGTTTAAGTTCTCTGTTTACGAAATAGAAACCATACGAATCTTCTCATTCATGAGAACGACCCGAGACTGCAATCACGGCTTCAATTTTTGAATTGCAGAATAATTAGATGCACTATCTAGTGTATATAAGATATCTATGGCCAAAACGAACTTCTGTCAATCGTATGAATTTAGTACAGACTTAGAAGTACTGAAGACATGGGATTTATGGTTGGGAAGAGTTCTGATGAACCCAGTCTGAAGTCGCACTTGTTGCGGTTTCAAATCCAGCCGTTGTATGAACACGTGAAATGACATGTCTAAATTACTCATATGATTGCAATTATTCAATTCTTTTCAATGATTTATTGTATTGGTAGCCGTTGCCGTCGCGTTGCCACCCTAAGGTACTCAGGTCTTGAATAAATATGTTAAGCAGGTTTTCATACAACCTTTTCATAAATGGCTGCCGATTAATGGCTGCCGGTGAAATCTGATATACATTTAGCCACACACCGCTGCGGCTGAAAAGTATAGAGAAATCCTATCGACTTTTCAGCCACAGACCGCCGTGGGTAAAAGTATAGTGAAATCTGATATACATTTAGCCACAGACCGCTGTGGCTAAAAAGTATAATGAGATCTGATATACTTTTTAGCCACAGACTGCCGTGGCTAAAATGTATACTGCAATCTGGTACACTTTTTAGGCACAGGCGGTCCGTGGCTGAAAAATATACTGAGATTTATACGGTCAGAATGCCATGGCTAAAAAGTATAATGAAATCTGATATACTTTTTAGCCACAGACTACCGTGGCTAAAAAGTATACTGAAATCTGGTACACTTTTTAGCCACAGGCGGTCCGTGGCTGAAAACTATACTAAAATCTATACGGTCAGACCGCCGTGGCTAAAAAGTATACTGAAATCTGGTACACATTTTAGCAACAGGCGGTCCGTGGCTGAAAAATATACTGAGATTTATACCGTCAGAACGCCACGGCTAAAAAGTATACTGAAATCTGGTACACTTTTTAGCCACAGGCGGTCAGTGGCTGAAAAACTACTGAGATTTATACGGTCAGAACGCCCTGGCTAAAAAGTATAATGAAATCTGATCTACTTTTTAGCCACAGACTCCCGTGGCTAAAAAGTATACTGAAATCTGCAGGTACACTTTTTAGCCACAGGCGGTCCGTGGCTGAAAAGTATACTGAAATCTATACGGTCAGGCCGCCGTGGCTAAAAAGTATACTGAAATCTATACGGTCAGGCCGCCGTGGCTAAAAAGTATACTGAAATCTGGTACACTTTTTAGGTCAGGCCGCCGTGGCTAAAAAGTATACTGAAATCTATACGGTCAGGCCGCCGTGGCTAAAAAGTATACTGAAATCTGGTACACTTTTTAGCCACAAGCGATCCGTGGCTGAAAAATATACTGAAATCTATACGGTCACGCCGCCGTGGCTAAAAAGTATACTGAAATCTGGTACACTTTTTAGCCACAGGCGGTCCGTAGCTGAAAAGTATACTGAAATCTATACGGTCAGGCCGCCGTGGCTAAAAAGTATACTGAAATCTGGTACACTTTTTAGCCACAAGCGATCCGTGGCTGAAAAATATACTGAAATCTATACGGTCACGCCGCCGTGGCTAAAAAGTATACTGAAATCTGGTACACTTTTTAGCCACAGGCGGTCCGTAGCTGAAAAGTATACTGAAATCTATACGGTCAGGCCGCCGTGGCTAAAAAGTATACTGAAATCTGGTACACTTTTTAGCCACAAGCGATCCGTGGCTGAAAAATATACTGAAATCTATACGGTCACGCCGCCGTGGCTAAAAAGTATACTGAAATCTGGTACACTTTTTAGCCACAGGCGGTCCGTAGCTGAAAAGTATACTGAAATCTATACGGTCAGGCCGCCGTGGCTAAAAAGTATACTGAAATCTGGTACACTTTTTAGCCACAAGCGATCCGTGGCTGAAAAATATACTGAAATCTATACGGTCACGCCGCCGTGGCTAAAAAGTATACTGAAATCTGGTACACTTTTTAGCCACAGGCGGTCCGTAGCTGAAAAGTATACTGAAATCTATACGGTCAGGCCGCCGTGGCTAAAAAGTATACTGAAATCTGGTACACTTTTTAGCCACAAGCGATCCGTGGCTGAAAAATATACTGAAATCTATACGGTCACGCCGCCGTGGCTAAAAAGTATACTGAAATCTGGTACACTTTTTAGCCACAGGCGGTCCGTAGTTGAAAAATATACTGAAATCTATACGGTCAGGCCGGCGTGGCTAATAACTATACTGAAATCTGGTACACTTTATAGCCACAGGCGGTCCGTGGCTGAAAAATATACTGAAATCTATACGGTCAGGCCGCCGTGGCTAAAAAGTATACTGAAATCTGGTGCACTTTTTAGCCACAGGCGGTCCGTGGCTGAAAAATATACTGAAATCTATACGGTAAGGCCGCCGTGGCTAAAAAGTATACTGAAATCTGGTACACTTTTTAGCCACAGGCGGTCCGTGGCTGAAAAATATACTTAAATCTATACGGTCAGGCCGCCGTGGCTAAAAAGTATACTGAAATCTGGTACACTTTTTAGCCACAGGCGGTCCGTGGCTGAAAAATATACTGAAGTCTATACGGTCAGGGCGCCGTGGCTAAAAAGTATAATGAAATCTGATATACTTTTTAGCCAGCCGTGGCTAAAAAGTATACTGAAATCTGGTACACTTTTTAGCCACAGGCAGTCCGTGGCTGAAAAATATACTGAAATCTAAACGGTCAGGCCGCCGTGGCTAAAAAGTATACTGAAATCTGGTACACTTTTTAGCCACAGGCGGTCCGTGGCTGAAAAATATACTGAAATCTATACGGTCAGGCCGCCGTGGCTAAAAAGTATACTGAAATCTGGTACACTTTTAGCCACAGGCGGTCCGTGGCTGAAAAATATACTGAAATCTATACGGTCAGGACGCCGTGGCTAAAAAGTATACTGAAATCTGGTACACTTTTTAGCCACAGGCGGTCCGTGGCTGAAAAATATACTGAAATCTATACGGTCAGGCCGCCGTGGCTAAAAAGTATACTGAAATCTGGTACACTTTTTAGCCACAGGCGGCCCGTGGCTGAAAAATATACTGAAATCTATACGGTCAGGCCGCCGTGGCTAAAAAGTATACTGAAATCTCAGGCCGCCGTGGCTAAAAAGTATACTGAAATCTGGTACACTTTTTAGCCACAGGCAGTCCGTGGCTGAAAAATATACTGAAATCTATACGGTCAGGCCGCCGTGGCTAAAAAGTATACTGAAATATACGTTTAGCCCCAGACCGCTGTCTCTGAAAAGTATAGAGAAAACTGATCTACTTTTCAGCCACAGACCGCCTGTGGTGAAAAGTATAGTAAAATCTGAAATACATTTAGCCAGAGACGCTCGTGCCTAAAAGTATAGTGAAATACTTCGCGCACATGTGGTATACAAGACATAAAGCCTCTCGTGTTGGGCTCGAGGTTGTATATCTGATATAGAACGAGAGCCCGTGCGATACATTTGACTTGATTTAGAAGAGATCTTACTTGAATCCAAGAAACATCCATTGTAACCAAAGCCAACTGATAAACAGTAAAATGACCGCCTCGGGAAAAGCAAACACAAACCAATCCCCGAAACCAATGCCACCACTTTCATCAAATAACCTAGAAAAAGAAATAAACTTAAAACTAAACTAAGATAATTGATACTGGACAGCTGTTTCAGTTCTAAACTGTTCTCCGCAGAGATCCAGTAAGGGTCATCTGTTAATGATCCAATGTTACTACAGGAGGAAACATAAACTAAACTTAGGCTGGTATTCCAAAGGTCGTAGCTTCGAATCCCTCCGTAGCCAGGCATATTTTTCAAGTCTGCCCGGTGTGGGATATACACTCAGAGTAACATCACACAAGCATCTTATTCACCTGATTACAATACACCAACACAGCAAATTTCATAAACTAACTTTATTGATACTGGATAGCTCTATCTGTTCTAAACTTTCTTCCTAGAGGTCCAGTAAGGATCATCTCTTATTAATCCAGTGTTACTGCAGGAGGAAACCTAAAACACCAACACAGCAAATTTCATAAACTAACTTTATTGATACTGGATAGCTCTATCTGTTCTAAACTTTCTTCCTAGAGGTCCAGTAAGGATCATCTCTTATTAATCCAGTGTTACTGCAGGAGGAAACCTACATATTAAACTAATTTTATTTATACTGTATAGGTCTATATCAGTTCTAAACTGTTCTTCCTAAGCTTTTCTAGAGGTCTAGTAAGGATCATCTCTTATTGATCCAGCGTTACTACAGGAGGAAATCTAAAGTAATCTGGATAGCTCTATCAGTTTCATAGGCGTACGGGCACATTATTTTTGCGGGGGCTGGGCTGAATTTGCCCGAATGACAAGACGTGATAGATTTCGTGACGTCATCATAAAATTACATAATCAAAGAAGACTACAAATGAAAGGCTTTCCTTTGAAGTCCTTGAAGATTGATATAAAAAGAAATATGTCGTCCCTAGCCATTTCAATTATAAATATATTCCGCATTACGATTTACAAAGAAAGAGAAAGTTAATAACGTAACAACATTGTTTGGTATAAAATGGTTAATTGAACGAGTACTGGTGCAAGACATTGTGTAGCCTAAATAATGAGAGGACCGGTATTCCAAAAATTGTTGTTCTCAATTTCTTAACTCCGACTCCTGTGATGAACATGTACGTAAAAGCCTAGGGAAATTACGATTATATAGAAACTAAAATATAGGTGGAAACTTTTATGGGACACGATAAAAGGCGAGGATAAGGAGCGAGAGATTAAAGTTGAGGAGGAAGGCAACCCTGTCCGCGTTTCGACCTAAAGATGGTGTAACATTTTCACTGTCCGACACCGTATTCTGTTCACTATTTTCTCTAAGCTGTGATAGTGAATTTAATTCATCAACATCAGTGAACGTTGTCATTTGTTCCGTTTGGTATTCGCTCATGGGTTCCTTCACATTTTTCTCAGATAGATCTTCATCAAAAGACGCCGTGACTGCAGAATCTTTACTACCACTCGATTAAGTTCCAAGTAGGGTTAGGTCACATTGCTGCGCAGGTCATCGTTCTTGGTTGTCATGTTACTTTTTACAAAGAAAGTATTGATTTTCGACTGGGATGAATCCGATGATTCCATCACTGGATAACATTTTACTTTTTTACCATTGTGAACCAATCGAGGGGGCGAATACCCCAGGAATATCGCTCCCCCTTTAGGATATTCGCCCATCATATATGCGATGCTTTCATCGTGATACTTTTATCTTATTTCTCTTATTTATACTTTCTTCTACCTTTCAAACGTATCATTGGAGTATTGGAAAGTTTTACCATTCTGAGGTTTACAAACTAATATTGAAACTGTAAAAACAGTTTCACGTATACGCGCATTCACTAATAAGTAATGACAACTTATAAGCCATTAATTTTCCGATAACAACAAAACGCTTGTCTAGCCTTTATTCGCTCTCAGTGACTAATCATTTCTTCGGGAGAGGCAAATTTGCCCCCCTCCGCACCCCCCCCCCCCCCCCCCCC